TTGGTACAGATTCTCATTTTCAACCACACATTCTCCAATAAAAAAATATTTTCCATCACATCAACTTTTTTCTTCTTTTTCAACCACACATTTCCCATCATATCACTATTCAAAAATCAATTCTTCCCCCAAAAATTCCTACCAAACACACTCATAATAACCTCCTCGTCAAAAAGTATGTACAATGTTATTAAAAATTAGCTTGATAGAAATTAAAACATTTCATTCATTTTAGAACTTCTCAATCGTCAAATACTGCACAAGCCAACACGCCCTTCACATATCCAACAATTAAATAGGATAAGCCTGAACGGTGCTTAATATATCCAAAAGAGTCTTGCATGTAAGATTTTCACCAGACCAAAAGAACTCATCCTGTTTTACATGTGAACTCTCTAAAACTGGCGCTGTGCAATCTGAATTTGTTTGAACCATCGCTACTAGTTACTATATATAAATAATAAGACTAAGAGACCCTGCTGTATGCAGCATAATGACATGAAATTTCTCCTATTGCTTCCCTCTCAACTTTCGTACACAATGTTGCGTTCGTCCCAGATACGACACCCACAGGTGGCTTTCTTGTTTCTCCATTCAGCTCCACACGTGTAACAAAACTCGTGTCCACATCTGCAATGTCATTTTTGACAAACTTCAGTCATTACTTAAGGTAAAAAAAATACCATAAAAATATATAAACATAAGGAATGGCAGGATGGTAAAAGAAGAGAACCAAATCTTTAATTATCAACTCTACCAAGATATGATGACATTCCTAAAGCTAATTGGAACAATTGATAGAAAAGCAATCCAACGACTTAACAAAGTTAATACTTGATATCTAACAAATATCTATTTCAATAGAAGACATATATAAATAGGTATGCAATAATTGAAGGAAAGTCCATCTTAGATCTTGGATACTCACAGCTGAACCATCCCTGGAGTGGACCTTATTCACCTTTATTCCTATTTGCGTGAAAGGTCTAAAGCCAATCCTAACTAATTCATATGTACATTATTTCTTAGTGGTTGTCAATGATCCCCACATGTTGCAGTCACTCCATTTCCGTGCAATTGGCATTTTTTTAAGGGAAAATTGTAGCCACGGTACCAAACCTTTCATTTAGTCGCAGACTTTGCCCAAACCTTTCATTTGTACTACCGTGAGTACCAAACCTTCAAAAAATTCGCAGCTCAAGTCCGAATGGATGGAAACCGTTAGTTTGATTGTTAGTTGACTTCAAAAAATTATTTTGACCAAATCAACAAATGGAAAAATGGCAACTACATAATTTTAACATTAAAAAAAATGGAAAATACAAAAAGGTAACACTATTTACCTTCGTCCCAAATCTCATCCACCCCCACCCCACTCTACGTCGCCTGGAACTCAACTTTCTACTCTTCCTCTTCTTCCTCGGCCCGAGATCTTATTAGATTCAAAATCCTCGAGCTCGGCTCCGACTCAGATTCACTCTATGATGAATCACTACTCAATTTGTTCAAACCAGACTTTAATTTGTCCTCTCTGCTCTCTTTTTCTTCTTCAACTTTCCTGGTAATTTCATCCTCAGGTTCCAAATCTGAGGATTCGTTTGGATCACTAGGAGGGCTAGGAGTACTTGTCCAAATACGGTTCCTAAGCAATTTTAGTTTCTGGTGCTTAAGCCTCCTGTACTCTTCGAATCCCAAGCTTCTCAATTCTTCATCCGATTCAGACTCCCCATATCTTCCACTTTTATAATCACGAACGAGAAACGGATTCTTTCTATCATCATACCTATTTCTATTTCTTTTGTCAGACTGTGGGGTTTCATTAGACCTTGGACTACGTCAACGGTACGAAGAATAATCAGGAGAAGAGCAACGGTACATGTTGTTAGGCCGGCTACGACTGTAGCCTGGACTCCGACTCCGGCTCATGCTGTGGCTATGGCGACAACTGTGGTAATTACGGAATGACTCCCCCTGTCTTCTATTTTTATTATAGCGGACGAGAAATGGTGGCGTCGGTCACGGAATAGGAGGCGCGGGGTGGGGTGAGGTGGAAATGGATGAGATTTGTGAAGAAGGAGAATAGAGTTACCTTTTTTATTTTCCTTTTTTATGTTAAAATTATGAAGTTACCATTTTGTCCTTTGTTGATTTAGTCAGAATAATTTTTTGGAGTCAAACTAACGGTTTCCATCCATTTGAACTTGAGTTGCGAATTTTTTGAAGGTTTGGTATTCACGATGGTACAAATGAAAGGTTTGGACAAAGTTTGCGACTAAATGAAAGGTCAAGCACAGTGGCGGCAATTTTCCCTTTTTGTATTGCTGAAATTGTAAGCTCTCTGTAGGATCTTTCTTTTCACTGGATAAGGATTCGTATTCTTTCCATTGAAGTAGGGAAAGCGCAACATGCTACAGTCGAATAGGACTAACTATTTGTAATGACTGACGTTAAAAGGCAGGTATGCTTTTTTATCAATATAGGTCACTCGTGAAAGCTATCTATATTGAAAACCTTCCAGTGAAGGTGTATTTGACAGGTAGACAACAAAATATGTATCCTATTTCGAAGCAGAGTACGAAGAGGTTGTAGAGGTGGTCGCCTCTCCCTCCCAACCATACCTCCCTTACCTTCTAAGGAAGGGGCACGGTTAGCCAATCACTTGGCATTGGGAGATCGGAGCAAGAGGGAACGCCTAGACGACGTTTTTATTCCTGGGCTGCAGTAAGTAGATCGAGAGGTCGTTCCGCCCCTTGTCCCCTAAGTTGGTTAATATGTTCTCATCCATTCTTGCTCCAATCTGACCTAGCTGGCAAGCGATCCAGGAGAAGCTTCATTTCCTTGGAAATGAGTTTGAGGTAGCAAAGCCCACAACAAGGTTGATTTGTTTATAGGATTGCAGCTAGGGAGGCTGTTCATATCGCTGACAGTGTAGGGACGAGAAAGATTAGTGCTGCACGTGCAAATAGCATAGTAATTAAACACAAATCGGACTGGCTGATCTGACCGGAGTCGGTGTAATAGGAATAGTGGATATTAGTCCCGCCCTAGACCCACTTGAACAGGCCAGGTTGTAGGCGAATATTGCTGAAACCCAGTGAACCGGTTGGTTCAACCTGTTTTCAAGAATTTACAAATGTCCAACAAGCAACAGGTTTTTTGAAAATTAAAAAATAAGTTGCGAAGTTTCAAAACAGAGACCGCATGCCTGTTAAGGTCATGGTTTTCCACGAGGCTACCACATTATATCATCTTTATTCTGTCTAATAATATATAAAAGTACCTTTACCTGAGATTATAATATTTTATATTAATTTAAAGATTTATTTCTTTAAAAAAATAACGAAATTTTTTCTTGAAAACTAGAAATGAAAAAACGAGTAATAAAATCGATAGAACTATATAAATATAAAGAAAATATGAAAAATTTATATAAATCTTACTTTTAGTTTTTTTTTTTCAAAGTAGGATTATAATATTTCAATAAATGAATTTTACATAAGAATCCATTTTAACTTATGGTTATATCTACGTAATTTTTTTGAAAATATATGTTTTATTTTACTTTTGGGCCGCCGGTTTAACCAGTGATCCATTGACCCGGTGCTTTGGCAGGGTCAATGACAGGGGCGGGTCAGATAACCATGGCAAACAGGATATTGTTCTGTTGCAAGATTGCTGCTTGTCTGGTACAGATCATGCCTGTCGAGAGTGAACAGCAGGAAGAGTGGATGGTGTGCAGTAATGTTGAGTTGGATGTAGCACGTATTAAAAGTTAGCCCACCACCGTCTGCTTTTGGTTACAAAAGCAACAGACTTACGGGAGAAGATTTCAATCATATGGATTAAAAGAACTGCAGTAGGTTAACAGATGTAAGAGGTGGATATTGGTGGAGAAAAGAAAAGACGAGTAAAAGAATGTTCAATAAGAAGGAACAAATTAACTATTAAACACGGCAAATAAGTAAATAAAAACAGTAAATCGGTGTTTGCTAAAATTAAATGACTACACTGAGCAGAGTAAACGATTCACATGCTAGACTTTATTCCACCAAGGACATAAAATTTGCATGTTCATGTCAAAAAAAGCGAGTTGATAATCTGCATGTCAAATTCGGCTCAGCTTGGTTTGAAAATACATGGTGACCCTGAGCAGTAACTCTTGTGATAATTTGAAAACATACAGATGGGAGGAAAGAGAAACCCTTCACCCAGTGGGGAAACTAACAGTAGAAAAGCTTGCTCAAGTAATTATCACTAATACAGTAGCAAGAACTACAGCGCAAAAGTTGGAACAAATCTACTTAGTTAACACAAAACAGGGAGAGGGGAGAATGGGGGAACCTAAGTTACTGAAATAATCTCTTGATCTTTCACAAATGTGAATTCTCAAAGACATTAAACAACTTAACCCCTGTTTGACACACATTTTTTAAAAATACATTCTTTCAAAACTCATTTTCAACCACACATTTTTCAATAAAATAATATTTTCCATCATATCAAATAACTTTTCCTTACTTTTTAACCACATATTTCCCATCATATCACTATTTAAAATACATTCTTTCCTCAATAATATCTATCAAACACACGCTTAAAATTGAAGTAGAAAGTAAGAATACCTGCAATAGATGTGGTAGCAACCCTCAGCAAGTGAAACCATATGACTGCATTTCGGACACTGACGCCAGAGATTCCTAGTAGCCAAAGACTTCAGTTTCTGATCTTCTCCAGAGGGATAGGGGTTCAATGTTTTATAGGCAACGCAACTCATATTGCTATGCCAGGGGACTTTGCAATTGATACAGAAAATGCCAAGGCATTTTGGGCATTTTTTGGCCGCCAATCCTTCGATAACACCGATTGTATATCCTTGAAGCTCAGCTCTTGAAAATAAAGTAGAACAAGTAGGATATGGGCAGTAAATCTTCTCAGCCACAGGAACGGATGCTTCCTTCACACGGTTACTCATAATATCAAATAATTCAGGAGTCAAAAATGTTTTGCAGCTTTCAAGTTGCAGCTCAGACTCACATTTCTCATATGGGCATTTAGGTAGCATTCCCTGAAGCAATTTAAATTGGACATGTTTGGACAAACAGGTAAAGCAGTAGCTGTGGAGGCAATCCCTAATTAAGAACATTTGATCTGCATATATATCTTCCAAGCAAATTGCACAAGTCTCAATCCTTTTCTTCCCATTGTTATTTCCTACAGATCGATTGACCTGAGAGGCTATTGCATTCCTTGCAAGTTCAAATGCAAACTTAATATCCTTGTGTGCCACAAGAGATGAGTCACAATAAGCAAATTCTCTCAGAAGAAGGTTCATCTGAGAAGCCAATGATGCAACATCTGCCTGCATTTGGTGGTTTTTCCCTGTTATCTGCATGTGAGGTACCAAGTCAACCAGAATAATGCAAAGTTTCTGAGAATGCATTCATCATATCGACTTGCAGGAACTTGCTTTCAGTATTGCTCAGCAGTGGCCAATTTGATTCTATTGCCTAGTTTTATGACATTTTTTCCCTTTTCCTTACGATCTGTAAAATTGTTTGTTGTGATTTTAGTAGATTGTTGACAAATTTTTCAATGTCAATACTACTTTAGCCATTTTACATAGAGAAAACGAACTCCTTTGACAAGATAAGAAAAGAATAAAAGAAAGCATGGTCACTTAAGCAACTCAAAAGCTTACTAAAATAACAATTACATAACAATCACATGCCCCCGAGTTCTAGCTTCCATAACTGTTTAGCATTTTGGGAATACACTGTTTAATTCCTTTATTTACCACAGAAAGAAGAAATTCAATATTGCTGATTTTGGATAATTAACAAATAGAATAATTATTATTTAATAATTGCTAAACCTGTGGTACAACCTTCACATGGACCCTGGTCCTACAAATGGTGTCTAAAACAAGTTCTACAACAGTGAAAAGTATACTAAATTGCAATTACAATGACTATGCTCACCACAGCCCGTAATATGTTGGCAAGTTCTTCAGACAGACATTATAAATAATTTAATAACATAGCATATAACTACGCAATTGTTCCAAATAAAAAAAATTTAAAATACACGAGCATGCATTGCCTCCAGGGAAAAAAGGTAAAGACATAAGAGTGTGGAAAAAAGAAAATGTCTCTCACAATCAAACAACTAAAGTTGTTTCACAGATGAGGAACATCTTAACACCGTTAAATGACCATGTCTGACTAAGAAAAGGCAAGCTGAAGTTGCAATTTCCAGACTAGAACACTTTTATCCAAATTAAATTAAAAAAAAAAACTAAACTGGATAAGATGTACTTTACATAACCAATACTTCACTCGTATTTGTAATAGAAAATTAAAGTAAAATAGCAATTTATTATCGAAAAATGACCCATATCAATCGCACATATAGTTAGTACTAGTTGGATTTAATCCATGAGACTGCAAGCAGTTTTGGAACCCAAAATCAATACTCAAAGCACGGTCAACAAACCTACAAACTCAAATAATAATAGTGAAAAATACAAAATAGTCACTTACAAATTGATGCAGCAAAATACAATCACAAACAATGGTAAGTCTCTTCAAACCCAGCATTGTAGCAACTTCAAGCCCTTCAATCAATGCTTTCACTTCAACTACCATAGTGTTTAATTCGCCGTCATTCCCAATTAAACCCTTGCTCACCTCAAATACCAAGCCATCATTTCCATCGCATATAGCCACTCCAATCCCACCCGCCATTTCATCAACCAAACCCTTGATATAAACCCTAAAGTTAAAATCCTGCCCATTCGAAGTCGTCGAGCCTCCTCCATACGGCCTCTCTAAATTATCCCCCGTTTTTATCCACTCATCCTCCGGAATATTCGAAATTTCACATGCAAAAGCATGATCGTGGACCTGACGGTCGAGATCGAGTTTGAATCGCTTCATCACCTCCTCCGCTTCGTAATGGTCGAGAAGTTCCCGTTCAAATATCAAAAGGTCATCTTCAAGGGTGTCCAGGAGACTAGGTTGGGAAACGACTTCGTCTGGTATAGTTATTGGGTTTGAGGATGAAGCAGCGTCGACCGGGAGGGATGCGGTGAGAGCTTCTTGGAGTTGGAGTTGGAAGGCATAGGAGAGGTCAGACTCGACGTTTTGCGCCAACGCAACTTCACCGCGTAGCGCGTCCAGCAGGATGGAGATGTCTTCGTTCACTTCCATTTTGGCACCAAAACAATTCTTCAGTAACTATGTGATCTCAATAAGCTTTTCACCTTACTTCACAACTTTTTCCTCTGGTAATTAATTTCTTGATGATTTTTGGTGGCAGTTAATTTTAGGGTTTTATGCTTTTAACTTCACAGAATACAGAGTCGGTGGGGATGAGGAGTTCTGCACACATTCAACTTCTACTTGCTTTTTCTATTTTGGTAACTAAACTTTCACTAAAATTTCAATTGAATCATCTAATTCAAATTTTGTTGCAGTCAAAATTTTTCGTTTAATGTTAGTCCTTGTAAATTGAACGTATCAATCCTACACATAAATTACAAATTGACGACAATATGACGCGTCTTATGCGTCTAAGTGAATATACTACCTATTTTAGTTGTGTTCGTGGATTATGAAAATAAATCACTGCCTACGACATCATAATAAGGTGATATATAATTTCAAAGTGATTTAAACAGTAATCTCGAAGCATAAATCACGACAAATTGCCATCAATTTAACGTGTATCTAGAATTAGAGCGGTAAGTTTAATAATGGGGTTAATGAATTGATTAACAATTGGACACTACAGATTTGATAGTGGTAGATTAAAATTTAGCGATCTACTTGAAATTTCACTAAAAGTTCAATGATTGAAATTGAAATTAACTCGTTTAACATACAAGTCAACTTATTTGCCGAACTTGCGCTCGAACCATTCGAATTATCCTTTAAACTACAATGTTGCACGAACCAAGTTGGAACCATATATTTAAATTTCGATTTATTTGTTGTGATAAAATATGAAAGTAATTTTGCATCAATTTGGAACCGTAAATACATAGTTTCGATTAGGTATACAGATCAATTTGAAGAACTAGTATTTGAGAGCAGAATTGTAAAGTTATTTAAACCAAATCTTAGAGCATAGATCAAAAATTAGATTTTGTAGGCTAAGTCTAAAAAAAACTATTTGCCCCTAAACCCTTGGTATATTCAAATTACCAGCTAGAGAAAGACAGGACAATCTTAATTGACAGGGGCGCTTGATAAGTGTAGTTTCTACATTCATTCGAGACCCTAAATCATGATATTTTATTATCTTTTAGATAAAATTTCACCTAATTTATGCTATATTTTATTTTGTAGATAAAACTTTATATTTAATGAAAAATTGGAGAAAAGAATGTGACGAAAAATGACAAAATTTAAAGATGAAATCTTGGATAGAAATAATAGAGAAAATTACCTATAACCCTACAATTAAAGATTAGTTTTCATAAATAAGGGGATTAAGTTTAAAATTCAGATTTCAAGTGGTAAATAAGATAATTAATTGTAATTAATAAAAAAATAATTAAACGTAATATACATATTCAACCCCCCACCACACCACACCCTACCCCTACCCTGATTCATCCCAAACCGATTTCATTTTCAAACCCTAAAATTTCTCAACATCTTCCTTCTTCTCTTTCTTTGCCACAGACGATACCCACCCACCCTCACTCTGTACCCTCTCTTATAACGTCGCTATATACGGCGGTTCTGCTCCGCCACGAGTAACAGCACGGCAAGGCACCGCTACTGCTGCCAGCAGTGGCGCCTGGCTTTTCCGACGTCGCTACTGTGATGGGGCTTGCAAAATTCCAAGCGAACCAGGTAGTGGTGCTTGCAACAGCGGTAATCAACTCTCAGAGACCGTCGTGCAATTTGGTGGTGATTTCAGGCAGCATTGTACAATCAGTGCCTCGACAAGTGATGAGCATCGTGATTGGGTCGTGATTCCAAGCAGCGCTGCAATCTAAGAGAGCGACGTCGATTGTCGTAGCTACTAATATTGGTGGTGATTTCGAACAGTGTCAATTTGGTTGTTGGTAGTTGTTTGTGGGTGGTGATGATGGTGTTTGTGCAAGTAGAGATGACGCTTGTGGTAGAGTTGACTTTGAGGCTTTGGGCCTTTTCCGTTTTGGATGCTTCATCTCTGCTAGAGTGGAGAAATTTGGTGGCGATTTTGGTGGTGTGGTGGTGTTGATGGTGGTGTTGGTGGTTGTTTCTCCAAGGGCTCAGATGATACTGTGCTTGATTTGTATTCATGGAAGTACAATCCAGGCAATGGTCTAGTTCCTTCTTATCAGAATGATTTTAGTACTCCCATTTTCTTATCATTCTTTGTTTCTAGTTTTGGTTTGCAGAAATATTTGAGGTTTGACAAAAGAAGAGGTGATGACTGGTGGTTGATTGTGGTGTAAACGGATTTGTTTGTGGTGACCATTTGTGACCAAATATGTGTTGATTGTGACTGTTTGTGACCAATTATGACTCTTTGTGATCGATTGTGACTTGAAATTCTGAAAAAAAAAATTGGAAGTTGGGAGTGGGTGGATGGGGTGGGTAGATTGATCGGAGCATGCGTTGGAGTGATCATTGGAGCAGTTTGCCAGAATGATCGTGAATAGCCGTCGGAGCGAGCATCAGGGTGATCGTCGGAATAGTCGTCGGAACGGCCGCCAGAGTGATCGCCGGAACTGTCGTCGGAGTAATCACCGGAGCAACCGCGGGAGTAGATGGCCACCTCCGATAGAGAGAAGGGGTGGGGAGAGGATAGAGAGTAGAGAAAAAGAGAATGATTTGGATTTGAAATTTAATAAATTTGGGTAATTGTATTATATTATAATTAAAAATATTTAATTAATTGACTTAACACCTGATTTTTTAAAAGATTTTTGAAGTTTGTTATTTTTTAAATGTAATTTTTATATATAAGATTTATGTATTGTTCCCATTTATAAATAGGGTCTATTGGCCAATTTTTTAGGGCCACAAGGCCCAACGAAATTGCCATCCCTCGNAAAGAGGAGAGAGGCAAATAAGTTGAGTGGAAAAGTAAAACACAAAAGTAAAGTAGCAGAAATGAAAGAGAGAGAAAAAGATCGCAGAGAAGAGAGACAAGAAAAAAAAAATGAGATGATATAGACGAGCAGTTTCACATTTCGTCAATTTTTGGTGATATCGTTCCACTTTTGCTCGTTGTTATTTTTACAATATGAATAACTAATTTTTATATTACGAAAAACAATGTAGTAGACTTGTGATCCTTTATTTTTCTAAAATTTATGTGATTTATGTGTTGGTTTTATTATGAGTTTAATGCATTAAATTGTCTGATCAATAATTTGATGATTATGTGATTCTTTTACGAATCGAGAGGTGAAATTGAGATTTAGACCATATAGTAAAATTCGATAAATTAGTATAACGTGTAGAGATACATATACTAATTATTGCGGTCATAATATGAATTCTTAGAACTAGTGTTTCGTTTAACTAAAATTGAGTCACATAGAGATATGTAATTTAATTAGTTAAATAAGTTTAATGAGAACTCGAGAGAAGTAAATTGAATACAATAGAAAAATTCGATCGAACACTACATTATGTTATGAATCTTGAATTAACAATTACGGTGATCAATAGATGAAATTGTTATGTCCTAATATTCATTACATATTTGAATATTCAATTATCCGTTGTGTGCGATCTTTTTATATTTTCAATTAGTTAAAAGTAGTTAGAAAAAATAATCACAACCATTATAATTATTTACTTGCTTTTGTCAAATAAGAGTTAGAAAAATTAGGTTAAATCCTAAAGTATAGTTTTCGTGAGAACGATATCCGAACTCAAATGTCCACTATACTACTTGTTACGATATCATACACTTGCGATTTAAAAAACGCAACAGTGCTCACCTTATTGAAAAGACCTCTATAGATAGGGTGTTAGCGCTTCATCCTCGTCTTCTCTTCCGTGAAGTGATTAATCCCTAAAATTGGCATGCAATCCTTATAGAAAAGCAAGTATTCTGATTGAATATAATGCACATAGTTTAAGCGTCTTCCATGAAGACGAGTTCGGCTATGTAATTATTGGAAAATTGAAAAGTCCTTGACGTTGTTGATAACTAAATTATAACCAAACTTCACTTTTCAAAACAACTCCTATCTTACACTATGACAGAGAAGGCGTCGTGAAGATTTAAGAGTATGAGAACTATGAGCTGAGAGGCTCCCAATAAGAAGTTGGGACTACTGTTGACCAAATTTGGTAACCATAAGTCAAGCCTTTAGATCTAGTCACACACTATAGACATCGGTCTAGCTTGGTGAAAATTGGGTTGAATCTATCCGTACATCTAATGCTTTGTGACAATCCTACGTGGCATCTTCAAGGTCAAATGTGGCACAATCCTATGTAGCCTACACGTGGGGGATCGAGCGTAACAAAATCTATAAAAAAATTGTCAACCAGCTAACCCAAATTGTCAACCAGCTAACCCTTTATCGTGAAAAATCACGGTTCCGAGTGAGGGGCTAACTTCAGTTATACCATTTTCAGCATAAGCTTCAACTAGCTTCAGTTGTACTTCATAGATCTACACATTATTAAAGAACCATAGATGCAAGTTTAGCCCCCGTGACAACTGGAGACCTAATTATGCTTCATCATCATCAAATGCATGGATCATGAAAAATCTCAAATTGGACCAACGATATTAATTTCATCGGAAATATTTACACAATGAGAGGAATTTCATCCGAAAAATTAGAAACATCCAATAATTCAATTCGTGTCCCAAACATCAATGTACTACAATTTAGCCGGCAGAAGCAATAAGCATAGCTGGTCTTGAAAATCGAACTTACATTTTCCACTTGGATGGATAAGATTTTAATCGATTATGAGGCACCTATCACCGGCCAAATTCACCAAGTTTCCAACAGTCATCAAGAAAATTGGGGACGAAAGGCGAAGAAAACAACAGCTGAAGGAAACGAATAAGGTCAAAATAAATCTTCTTCTGATGATGAATCTAAGTATCCATAATCATCCTCGTCCTCGTCCTCGTCCTCGTCTTCGTCATCTAAAATATGCTCCTCATCCCAAAGTGGACAGGCACAAGTAGCTGCCTTGTTTTTCCACTCAGCTCCACAAGTATAGCAAAATTCATGGCCACATCTGCTCAGAACAACATTTCCCACAATAAAAAAAGGACAAAGAAAATAACATTAAAATCAACTGGCGTATGATTCTCATAAACACCATCAAGTCAAAAGTTGTCACAAACTTGTCCAGACTATATTCCCCCTGGATTGGGCATCTTCAACAGCTCAAGCTTAATCTTAAGGCCAGTAGAACAATGACAACCGGTAACATATTTTCCTCAGGCAGGTAACAGAGGGTGTAAAGAAATAAACCACCAAACATATGGGAAAACACTAAAACAAACGTTGAGGTCCAGAAATACCACGTCTAAAACACAGTTTAGAAGTTTTTAATGGGCATAAATTATGTAGAGCAGAGCCCATAAATGACATGCAGGGTGAAATCAGAGAGTTGAGAAATCAGTGTCCCAGATCCGTTGGTCAGTTTTCAGCATTTTAAGCTTGACATAAATGATACACAAGTTTCCTGGTGATAATACACTAAGAATTATTCTTCAAAAAGGAAAACATGGAGAATGACATTTCAATCTTCTCAATGTGCCAAGACTTTTTACTGGTTTAGCCTTTATTGGACGTTCAGTGCAGTTGGAGAGACATTTACCACAACTTCTCTTTCATGAATCTTAGTTTCTATACTTGAGGAGACACCATCCTCTTATCTGACCACCATTTTTTATTCAAAAAAGGAACTATTTCTATAAATAATATAGAAGAGAGAAGAACACGGTTAACACAATAAGAGAAAGAAGAAGATAATTTCCTTGCTTGAACTATGTTAACACATGGATAATCAACTCAAGACTCCGGTGATAATTACCTTTTCCCCTTGAGTTTTCCTTCAATCTAGTCCATTTTTCCTTTTCCATTAAGAAGAGTTTATTGCACTTAACTCCAAGATTTGAGATCGTTCAATTGCTTTCTAAGTTTTTTATGCTGCAAGGGTGTAAATTACCTTTAGTAGATATTGGAATGCATATGTCAATCTGGAAGATTTGAAAAAAATACTTGACATTGATCTGAGCTAAACATTTATCGGCATTAAATTAGCACTATACTCTGGTAGTTTAGATTAATGTCAAGTGATAAGCAACTTGATTGAACATGTGCTATAAGTTATTTCATCGCGTGAAGTTGACACCACCATTCACAAGAGTTAAGATATTATATGCATGCGTGAAGTTCCCCCCTTTGGTAGAGCATGTTCTTCATTAGTATAGTGGTTGATCATGCATTACACTTCCTCACTTTCTATATATAATCGGAATGTTTATCTCTATGTTTGAGGATCGTTCCAAGTGATGAATTAGTCAAATAACCTTATGGAGTGTGTGTGTGTGAAAAAGGGCCTCATCAGACACTTTTATAAAGACTCGTTCCAAACTGACAATTCCGTCAACCTCATTAAGAGTGCTCTCTCATAGTCTACTCGTCCAAATGTATAATCTACTCATTCAGATGTAGATGATAAGCAAGTTTCCCGATGATAATTACCTAAACAGTTATTCTTCTAAAGGAATGTCGTGTAGAGTGATGTTCTATCTTGTCTATGTTCCAAGACTGTTTTACCGGTTTAGCTTTATTGGATGTTCAGTGATGTTGGAGAGACATTGTTTGGAAGTTCTTTCATGACTCTCTGATGTTATACTTGAGGAGACTCAATCCTCTGATTTAACTCCTCTCTTTTTGAAAACTGTCTCTATAAAACAATATAGAAGAGAGAAGAACATGTCTAGCACATTAGGAGAAAGGAGAAAGTAATCTCCTAGTTTGAACCCATGTCCAGACATGATAATCAACTCACGACTCGTTATGCCATATGTGAATAAACTAATTGGAGCATATAAGTCGGTACCTGCACGTCATATGGTAGCACCCTGCTGCAAGTTCAATCATGTGGTTGCATTTAATACATTGACGCCACAGATTTGTTATTGCCAATTTCTTCAACTTTGCCTCTTCTTGCTGGGGATAAGGATTTCTCCTCTTGTAATCATAGCAAGTCATGTTATCGTGCCATGGTACTTTACAACTAATGCAGAAGTGACCATTGCACTTTATGCACTTTCTGCGCCTATGCATATCTGCTACAACAATGGCAAATTTTGAATTTTCTAAAGCCTCCCTTTTTGACATCAAAGCTGAACATTTAGGGTAAGGGCAATAGATTTTCTCTGTAACGGGAATTGAAGCCTCCATAATGCGTTGATTCCAAATTTCAGTCAATCGAGGTGTCAAAAACTTGCTACATGTATCAATTTTCAGTTCAGTATTGCAGCCTTCATGCGGGCATTTAGGCAGCATCCCATGGAGTAACTTCACTTCTACATGTTGTTTCATGCAAGAAAAGCAATAACGGTGCATACAATCATCGATTGAGAAGATCCCATCAATATTTGTGTCCTCTAAACAAATTACACAACTCTCCTGTGAATTCCTAGAACCATTAGATTCAGCAGGCTTGTTCATCTGAGAAACTATTGCTTCTCTTGCGAACTTAAATGCAAACTTAACGTCATTTCGAGCAACAAGAGATGGCTGGCAGTATGTAAATTTTTCGCGAAGGTGAGAAACTTGATTCACTAGAGCATAAACCTTCGGCTGTTTTGCTAGCCATTTGCCTGTAACCTGCAGTTTCAAATACAATGTCAACAACATGAAGCGTAATTCAGAGAAATGCACGGGAACATAGTTCGAGGTAATATCTAAGTATAATCATTTCACAACCAAGCAGACTGTCAACAGTCAAAATTATATTTTAAAAAAAATATAGTGAGGTTCTTCATTACTCTTCTTCCTCAGGAGATAATTTAAATAATTCCATAAGACTGTGTTTTAAAGTGCGACATATTTATAAAAGTATCTGTATCTGTGAAAAGACTAACAAATATCATTACATCCAAAGCCCCCATCTCTCTTCCCATGCACAACAAACACCAAAATAGACAAAGGAATGTTATCTCAGTTTCTTTACTTTCCTCCATTGATGCGGGACATCCTTTAATAAAAAAAATTAATACATCCAGTGGCAAGCAACAAATTACAAGGAAATATAATAAAAAGATAGAGGAAGAAAAAGAAAGAAAAAGAAGGAAGGAAATCGTGTAATCTCTCCAAGTCGGGGCGAGTGTCTTGGTTAGAAGAGTTTAATACAATATCTCTAATGAGCTGTAAAAACTGAAGAGAAGGGATATATTCCGCCCAGGCTTTAAGATATGAAGAGATATTATAGTTATACTTGTTGACCACTAGATATTCTGACTCTTCTAGAACAATGACATGAGCTACCATGATCAAGAAAACCCCATAGGTATAGCTGATCTATAATTATCTAATTCCCACCACTAGAAACAAATTATTACTTCATTGTAATGAGGAACCTCAATTATTATACAAAGTGGAATCATCACCGTTGAGAGGGATGCCCACAAGCTTGTTGTCACATAAAGCAAAAAATTACTCAAAATGTAGAAACAAAAAAGATGCCAGCATTAAGTATCATAATAACCCCATGGGCTATAACTTCCCAATGAGAAGGAAATGAGAACTGGACCCCTCTAAATATTTGACAAAAAAGGAGACTGAGAATTAACTAAACAACACACACTTTTCTGGTACTTATTCACCCACTTGCCAATAATTTTATCATTTTGCCATTATGATCCCATCAAAGATATTTTTCCAAACAACCACATATAATCAAACTACTCATGTTATTTGCAGTTCTTATAATCAAACAAGAACAAACTTCCATTTGTTAGAAATGCTGTCGCAATATCCTTTTCACCTAAGTCTTTAAGCCCTAGGATTCCATGATATGATTCTCATAATGCGAATTAGAAGAAATGGGAAACCTAATGAAAGAATATTCCCATACTTTATGGAGACTGAAAGTAAAATTATTTCCTCTCCTATTTGGATTTGGTATTGCGGATGGCTAGCAGGTTGAAACAATATTTTCAAACATTTCTCAATTTTATATGCAGTTCAAACTTCTAAGTTGACACGTATTTCTGAATACTGTAAAAAAAAAAAAATCAACTATCCACTCAATTTTCCATTCTCCAAATTTTCCTCTCGAGAAAGAGATCAATTTCTATTTTTCCACTTGAACTTTTCTCTCGGACTGTCCTTATTTCTCTCATCCATGGAACTCCCAAGCCAAACCACTCTCTTCTTCCCTCTCACTATTTATCTTATGGGTTCTCAAAATCATGGATGTATTACTTCCCCAATTGATAAAATATCAATGAGACCTCCAAAACTCCTTAAGACAAAGGATGTGCACACAAAAGGGGTAGAAAAACACCTCGACCTCATGGGTTTATTGAAAAATCTTATTTCCCCCTTGAATGCACACTCTCTTCATGTTTCTCCCTCTAGTCCAAAGCCTGAACCCACCACTACCAGTTGTAAGACTTCACAATCTTACATATTCAAGTATATAGCTTAGCATTACGCTAATGAGCACTTTTTCACCTTCTCCTTATTAATAAACACATATCTGATGCACAAATTTGCTCTGTTTCATAAAAAGAATCCACTAAGATTCCAAAGAACATCAGCAGTGTAAGCAAGCATTCAATTTTGTGACAGTCACAGTTCTAAATTTCCAACATCTATAAAAAAATACATAATTTATTAACAATAATAAGCGCGTAATGATAAAACTCCAAACTTTCAAAGAGACGTGGTAATAAAATGAATCCAAACTCACAAATTGGAAAACTGGAAAGTAGTCGCAATTAAGAACGACCCTCTTCAAATCTAGCTCCAGTGCCGCATTAAGACCCTCGATCAAAGCCCTAATTTCGGCGCACCGCCTGTTCTTCCCATTTCCAACCAATGGCTTTCGTAATTCGAACAATAAGTTGTCCCTAGAATCACATATTGCTACACCAATCCCGCCCAGAACAGTGCCGCTCGGCAAGTCCTCCAGTAAGCCCTTAAAATAAATACTAAAAATCTCGTTATTCACACCTTTGGAAGTGCCTTCACCAAAAGGCTGCTCAAAATTGTCCCCCCATTCCTCCCACTCGTCCTCTGGCATTCTTGAGATTTCAAAAGCCACACGATGGTCATGGATCATGCGGTGGAGATCATTCTTCAATTTTCTAAATTCCGTTTCGGAGATTATATGGTCTTTAAATTCCTGCTCGAGTTTTAGGAGTTCATCAGACTGGAGGTCAGTGAAATTCGAGAAGTCGTCGACTAACAGTTGGGAATTCAACTGGGGTTGGGGAGGAGAGTCCGAGGAAGTGGATGAAGAGGGTTGGTTCTGGTTTAGAAAAATAGAGGCATTGATGGCTTCTTGGAGTTGAATATTGAATGCTAAGTCAAGATCGGAGTCCACAGCCTTCGCAGCCATCAATTCGCGGCGTTACTCGGCGGAGATAGCCTGGAAGTCGTCGTCGTCGTCGTCGTCGCAGGAGAAAAAAATAGAACCGTCTTCCAATTCTAGCGGTCGGCCAATCGACATTTCGTAATTGTGTCTACTTTTTGTAACCTGATTTTGACAATAACACGAAAACAGGAAGAATTCTTAACTTGTTCGACTGCCTCGACTTTGTTACCTTCTATACTTCCATGTTGGAAAAATTGCATCATAGTCCTCAACATAATGACAGTTAGTATAAAGTGGTCTCGATTCTATTCTTTTGACATTTACGTCCCCAACCTCATGATTTCTCTCAAAATCTTCTAAAGGGATTCAAATAAGCAGTTATTTTTTCAAAATTTTTTTTGGGGATTCAAATAAGCAGTTGTGACTTGTGTGCTCTTTAATAAATCATTACATAGTTGTAGAAATACTTGATTTTTCGAATTCCATACATTTTCCAATTTTAAAAGTTGTGTGCAAGCTACCTTCTCCGTCCCTCTCCCACTTATCCTTTACTTAATCCGTTCAAATTAGCATTATGACGAGATTTGCACTACCAATGCACGTGTCTAATAGAACCAAACAAGCGTAACAAGGAAAGCATTTTCTATAAGAATCCCTGCATTTAGGGTCCGTTTGATAGGAATGGTGGAAAATGGGTGGAAAGAAAATGTTTTACAGGGAAAAGATTTTTCAAGAAAATGTTTTCCTGGGAATTGTAATTAATTGTGTTTGATTGGTATAATTTTCTACCTGGAAAATGTTGAAAGTTTGGT